GTGGGCTCTTTAGTGACAGTGGATATTGTAAAGACATGGGAAAGTCAGAAGAGGAAAGTCATCAACAAGCTAGTCCCCAGGGAGCACTGTTGAGGGCATACAGCAGTTTCATCAAGTCACTGCCACTGCTGCAGCTGTGTGACCTCAAGGAGGTCTTGTTCTTGCCCCCCAAGGGATCTTCTTTGCTTGCTGGTCTAGTTTTCTTCCTTCTCTGTTTGAGTGGTGGTCTCTGCTTTTCTCTTTCCTCCTTCTCCCCAGCCACTGTCTTCTGCACTGTGGTTTACATCCCAACCCTCAGGAAGAGAACTTATTTACGACCATCTGACATTGAGTGAGAAAAAAAATCAGTACAGTGAACAGAAAATTGAACTGACAGTGACTTAAATCAATCAACATTTATTTTTCTCTGCTATAGCAAGCATCCAGAGGTGAGTGGTCCTAGACACTGGTTTCTCAGCTCATGGCTAATATTGATGATTTAGGCTTGCAATAGCCACAATCTTCTCTGTGTGTGTGTGTGTGTGTATACACACGTGTTCGTGTGGGCGTGTCCACATGTATGTGCAGGTGAGCATGCATGTGTGCACATGTATATGGAAACCAGAGGTCAATGTCAAGTGTCTTCCTCAATCACTCTTCACTATATTTTTTGAGACAGGGTCTCCCACTGAACACAGAGCTCATCAATTTAGCTATGCTGACTGGTCAATGATGTCCAGGGATCTGCCACCTGTCATCTTTCCCCACAGCACCACAGCACTGGTGTATTAGACATCTTGCCTGCTACATCCAGCTTCTTACAAGAGTGTTAGAGATCTGAACTCAGGTCCCCAAGCTTGTGTGAAAGACACTTTACCAGTTCAGCCATCTCCCCAATCCCACACTCTTCCATTTTTAGCTATTGACTTTTTATCCTCAAACTTACTGCTTTATGGTTGCAGACAGCCACTGCAGAGTTAAATATCATTGTGTCTACATTCAAAGTTGGAAGCTGGAAAAGGGTCAAGACCAGCAAGGTCTCCTGATATATTTGTTCTTTCTGTGGGAAGAGAAAATTCTCCTAGAATGCTAACCAAACATGCATATAGACTTTTGCTTACACATCAATGATCTGAATTATGTTATAAGACTTAGCTTCAACTTACGTCAGAAAAGTAGTATTGAGCTTTTAAGGTCTCAGTAGCAGGAAAGCAATGAGATAAGGGATTGAGAAGAGCCTTTAGCAGTCAACCTGCCATGTGCCATGCGACATGAGGCAACACTCCTATGCAGTGCTCTAAGCCATATGATAGGTGACTTTGCTGTCTCATACATAACTGACTTTGAGGTAGAGGTTGACCCAATAAGATCAGATATCAGCATGATAGATAAGAAGGGTACACAGGAAAGAATAAATAGTGCTTTTCTTAGTATCAGTATGATACATAAACACTTTTTAATTCTCATCCGTGACCTAATTATAATATAATCTATCATAGATTTAACTGTATGTTTTCATCCCACATCTCTTTATGAGCTTCTTTGTCTATTCATTTATTTATTTAGTAAATACTAATGCAATGAAAGGTACTTGTTGAGGGATGGGAGACATGGCAGTGAGGAAAACACACTCACTTTCCAGCAGTAAAGAGAGGCAAGTGAAAGAAACGTGTGTGTATAAACATATTTACATATATATGAATTTCTTAAATTTCACATTAAGTCCCCTTCTATGTTCCTGTAATCCTGCTGAGTTTCTTAGTAACCATGAATAAAATTTCAGTAACTGTTTTTGGAGAATATGTTATATATTTATATATTTGGGAAAAATACATATGGAACATGTATATTTTGAGTATATATAAATTCTGGTGAAATATTCAGATGATAATAAGTGCTACCTCAAAAAAAAGTTAGGTAAGGGAAGATGTGTACTCATAGGCCTGGGGAAGTATGTGAGATCAAGGGTGTTGGCCATACTGATGGAATGAATGATCAAAAGCATGCAGAACCATATGGTACAGCTGCAAACTTTCAAGTGCCTTTCTTTAAAGGGAAGCAAACAGGCATTTCTGCCCTGATTTAAAGGGGAAACACATATGCATACTAGAGCCCAAGCACACTGTGTATAACACACCCATTTGCTGTTGTCATTGGATCATGCTGTATTTCTGTTTTTAATTTATTTTATTTGGCCTATTAACTTTCTCTAAGTCAGTCAAGTGTGACTTTCAAAACGCAGCCCTGCTCCTGAACAGCACTTCAGTGTACATTTGTCTTTAGAATGATCAACTCTCACCCCAAATTTGTTTCCTTGGTTTTAAAAACTCACCTGAGGTTACAGAGGGTACAACATATACTTGGATATTCTCCAGCCATTAGGTGTTAGAACTTCACCAAAGAAGCAAACACACTGCTTGTTTGCCCCTTTCTGTAGTAGCTTTACAAGATGTACATTATTGGATTTTAAAATATGTACATCTTATTTATTTTCCTTCCAACCTTATTAGCCTGTAGAAACACCACCCCCCGTCCATCAATTTCCTAATTTATCAGACCACAGCATAAATAATTGTAGCATCTTTTACAAAAGTTTTCCAAGACTCAGATGTAACCCAGTTGGTAGAGCGCTTGTGTAGCATGCGCAAAGCCCTTCGTTTAATCCCCAACATTGCATAAACCAGGTGTGGTTGGGCATGTCTATAATCCCAGCACTTGGGAGGTAGAGACAGGAGGATCAGAAGTTTAAGGTCATCCTCTGGCTACTTAGTGAGTGTGAAGCCAGCCTGGGAATACATGAAGCCTTATCTAAAAAAATAAAATTCCTTAAACTTCAGACTAAGTTAAGCAAGCCTTGATTTATGATGCTTTAATCTTGCTGTTCTTGAGAACTTCCACATCTTCAGAACTACCTGCTTCATGCCTCTCTTCCTCAGCAGAAAGCAAGCTCCACGGGGCAGGTGCCATGTCTGCTTTGCCCAGTTCAGTATCTCAGTACATAGCCTGGATACATACGGAAGCACTCAATAGTATTTAATGAACTCATAAGCACCCTCAGCCTCCAAGTGACTAGCACAGTGCCTGGCTAGGCTTATGAAGTTTGTCTAAATTCTTCTTCCGTCTAGCCCCATCCCCTCCCTGCCATTGGGAGTACTGCTAGTAGACAACCTCAGCAGCCAGCCTTCTTTTGGAGGAATGCTTCAGCTAAAGTCATGGAAGCCCCAAGTTATGTCTTGTTCCAGCTTGTATTCAAGGTGAGGAAAGACCCTGTCATCCATTAGGACATCCATACAAGGCTAACCTGGCTTCATAGCAGCCTGTGAGGCTAGAATGGTTTCACAGACGAACTTTCGTGCTGTGTTTCCTCCACCTCCCTTTCACAGGGGCTTATTGTAAGGACATTCCCTAATAAATGCCTTACACCTTACTTTTTAACTCAGAGTCTACTTCCAGGATAAGCTATCCTGTGATATCCTGCTCTAACAATGTTTACAAACTGAATAGCATGGTCTGTTCTACTCCATAAACTACTAAAAAGCAAAGAACAGTTATTTATCCTTGCAATGACTTTCATGCACTAGCTAGCATAAGCTCATCAAAGGAAAGAGTCTTGCAAACAACCTAAAGCCTTCCTAGTCAACGTGTGGTCCTAAGACCAAGGACATTGGTGTCCCTCTGTATGCTTGGTCAGAAATGCAGAAACTGGAGATCTGGCATGAATCAGTTCGACTGAATGTGAACTTGCATCTTCACAAGATCACCATGGTTTATACTGACATTAAATTAAAGTTTGAGAAGTACTGAGCTGTAGGATTAAAATAAATAATGTGTTCTAGCTGATAATTCCTAGTCTGTACAATGTTTTCATAAGTTATTTTTCCTCTAAAATTTTGCTTTAAGATAGTGTAAGGGTGCTTGCTTTAATTCGACAAATACTAATTGAATGTCATGCCAAGAGTTCAGCCTTATGGAGCTTATATTCTAGGATGCAGGGAAAATAAAATCAACATCAAATTGAAATGGGGGTGTGTGAAAGTGTCATGGAAAACTAGAGCAGGGTAAAAAGACTGGGAAAGTGGGCAACAGTTTAAGCTTTTTGCAAAATACCATGATAAGCTGGAAACTGAAGCAGGTGAGGTAGCCACATGCATATTTGAGCACAGACTCTGAGTGTTGTTTGTCTTAAGGGCAAAGACACCAAAATGGCTGCAATGGAATGAGAAAGATGCTAAACCTGAAGTGTGCCAGAGAGGAAAAAGGATTGGTCTCTGAGAGGCTGCTTTAAAAAAAAAAATCCCTATTTGACATTTCATCCCTAAGCAGGCCATGCATGTTGTTTTTCTTGCAAGAACAAAGTACTTGAGTCTGCACAAACCGTTTTGAAAACCAGAGAAGGTTTAGGCTCCTCAAACAATATTGCTGGGACTTGGGAAAGGTCTTTTAGGACTATCTTCTAAAACCTCAGGCTCCAAGATGTCTAGATGATAATGGGTGAAATAAGGATGGTGTCTGGGTTGTAGACCAACACAAAAATCAGCAATTCTGTAGTGTAGGACACTACACAAACAGGAAGAATTGCGGAAGGCAGGGTTAAGCTGAAAGTAACCTTTGGATCCTAGTTCCTCCCTTATCCAAGAGTCCGGGTCCTGATTACTGATGGTGGTGCCTAAGGGTGCAGGCCTGGCGTTAACCAGCCCTTCTTAGCCCAGCCTCACTGCCCTCCCCGGCTCCAGAGTCCAGGTCCCGCCCACTCCTGTGTCCATGTCTAAGCTTGGCCAGGGGTCAGGCTATTGGACCCTTCCAGGACCCGCCTCCCAGGCAAGACCCCGCCTCCAAAACTCGCCCTCGCTCGGTCTTCTCTCTAGGTATAGGTGTCAATGTCGTGACCACGCCCTCGGTCCCGCCCAATTCTCCCCCCCCCCACCCCGCACGCCCC